TTCGTAATGGATAGGAAAGAACTTAGGTCTTTGTGGTGTTATATAGGGGGTTTCAAAGTTGTCAACTTTGAAACCCCAACTTTGAAACCCCAAAAAAGCTGTCAACTTTGAAACCCCCTATTAACACCACCAAGACCTAAGTCCTATTATTTTCTTTCCTATGCATTACTTATTAATGGAGGATACAACAAGCAATACTTTCGATAATATCCGGGCACGCACTTGTGGAGCATGAAGGTCCGAATAATACGCCACTAGATATAGCTGACTCCAACACCCAATTAGTTAGGCTGGCAACTTAAAGATTCAAGAAACAAACCTAGAACAAACGGGCGGTAGTTTTTGCACCACGGATAACAGATCAGTAAATTTAAGTTTGAAAAATCCTCCGATAATGTCTCGCAGCAGTGAGTTCACTGTGGTTTAAGTACAATGTTCACTGTCAACGTGACCTCCTCACTCGCTCACACTTTTGAATTCACCTTCGACCTCTCACCAACCATGAAGACCTCGACCTCCGTCCTCACTACTTTCGCTCTACTTGTAGTAGCATCATTCAGCTTTCCTGGAACACTCGCCGAGCAATCTTTTGTGTCGCGTGATAGCGACACTCCGCTGCACACTCTCCAGCCTGCGAGCGATGAGAAGGCATCCTGGGCACCACTACGCGCTCTTAGAGTGAAAGGACATCAGGATATGGGCAAGCCGAAGGACTCAACCCACCTTGATGCCAACAACAATGTAAAGCACGACCACCCCCGAGCTCTAGGCCAAGTCCCAGTAGCGACACCTGCTTCAACTACCACGGGCAACACGTTAGTCACCCAAGCTCCCATCAAACTGGAGCCCACACCTATGAAAGCGACTACTGCTTTAAACAAGCCGAAGACTAAGGAGCCGTCCCCCAAGCGGGCACCTCCACTAGCTACAAAGCCAACGCCTAAGCAACAGTCGAAGGCGACTCCAGCGGCTAAGAAGACGACCTCAGCACCGACCAAACCTAATTCGAAGGTGACTCCTGATCAGACCAAGCAGACGACGAAGTCAGCCGCTCCTACTGCTTTGACGAATTCTGGAGCTGTTCAGCAAAAGACCCGCAGCTTACGTGATGGTCAACTTAACCAGTTTTAACACCAGCAACAATCTCCTCCTGGTCACAAGAGTGGAACCCCAAAGAACGGCAACAAGCACATCTAAATCTCACTTTCACTCTCACTCACAACTATAGGTCAACGACTACCGACACATTGGAATGGCGATAGTAAACGCGGACGGTAGTTGGTCGTTTCTAACCTTTTAACTTTTTAAATCATAAATTTAGCGTTTTCTAAATGTCTAAATGGTTTTGTCCACCTACTGCATCATTTTCTTCACGTTTCTTACATGACAATGAACAGTTACGTTAGAAACAGGTCTTCAAACACACAGCTTCAGAGCGCCATTACTTACTTCATCAGGGCAGGAGGTATACTCTCCGGTATCCTCGATTCGATCCGAGCCAGCATCGCCAACACATTTTGCAAATTCTGAATCTTCGGCATCTGATGGCCAGATTCTAAAATCTGATTGAGCCAGATATTGAGCATACCAGCTATTTCCAAAATACTGGAACGCATCTCCTGGATCCGATAACTTGGTGTGTCGAGTTTGAGCTCTGGCAAGCACAACGCGCATGTTTCATGAAACTGACCAAGCAGAAGCAACAGCGGCGTTTCTAATTGTTTAGAATCCAATGTGGGGTTTTCTTTCTCTGTCGTCTGGACATGGAAACGCATAGTCCGAAAAGGGTCAGCATAGTAATCGTCCCAGTAAGTCTGCAAGCGTTCGTAGCTGGATCTGAAACCGGAATCTGATTCGACGACGCCAGAGAGTTGGTTAAGAAGACTCTTTAGTGTGATACGACTCAGATATCCACACGGACAGCGCCATATCAACTCCACCAGAATCTCGACAGCTTCAGTATACGCAGCAACGCAGTCGTCGTCTTGTGTAATGCAGTTGGAGAAGTTTTTGCTGAGTTCAATCACTTTATGGAGCATCCCACGGATATCCTTTGCAGCCTTAGAAGAAGGATGCACCTTCTTACCTGGCTCCAGACTTGCACTCAATTGTTGGATCTCGTCAAAACACGATTTCACTTCTGTCCACATACTTGCATCGATGTCTACCGACCTACCACACTGCGTCGTGACGTTTGCTGGACGCTTTGACGACAAGCTCTCGTCTGGTTCATCCGTTCGAGCTCTTTTCAAGCCCCGAGTTTCACCAGAAATACTCCCTACTTCAGGTGACAAAAGTTCATTGTCATCTTGAGAACTGGGCGTAAGAATCTGGCTTTGATCTTCATTTTCGACAAGCTTTCTGTTAGTATTGGTACCTTTACACAATCTACACACAATTTTATTAGAGATTTGGTCGATAGAAACAGAGATATCAGAAACGTACTCGGCCAGTGCTTTCGGGGTTCTGGTTGGATAAACCTTCTCAAATGCGTCAAGTACAGTGCTCAAATCTTTGACCCATCCTGGTAATTTCTGGGTTTTTAAGTGTGACGTCATTTTCGCCAAGTTCTGGCCGAGTATGTCCAGACTCGTCCATTGTTCTTCGCCCCAAGGATCAATGTGGTCCACTTCACGTCGTATCATAATGTACCGATATGCACTGACCAGTTTTTCGGCTGTCACAACAAGTTTTTTCTTCAATTGCCTGGCCTTCATCGCCTTTGAAGCCATCTTCGTTGTGCTTACAGCTGTTGCCTCCAAGAAAGTCGAAAAGCGGTCATCAGTATAAGCCACCAAGGTGTTGCGACAGTCGAGGATCGGCTGAAGCTCTTGGGCGACCACACTTCCAGCGGCAGTTGTGTAGATGGAATCATAGGCGACAATGGCATCTACAATCGAGCACCTGTTGAACTTGACCCTCATACCAGAAGTGAAAAGTGCCACTGCTAATTTCGAAGCTTCCATGAAAGATCTAGCAACGTTGCGATGGATACTCCCACTTATCAGTCGCTTCAGAAAGCGACTATTTGCCATCTTAAAGTTGATTTGCACGGCATGAGCCCATGTTCGTATTGTAGGGGCATCCAACCTCTCGAAGGTGTCGCCTCCACTTTCAGAGTCAGGAATTCGGTCAATCACAGTCTTGAGCGCCTTGCCAGCTTCAAGATAAACTGTTAGCGAGCCTTTATTGTTACGGGATATCTGTGAGCATTGAGGTTCACTATAAGCCGATGTACCGGCATGTGCAGCAGCATCTTCGTGAGTGTCTAAGGTGTTCACTTTTTCAACATCATCGTTCTCTTCACTGGATTGAGCTTGCTCGATTAGTAGCACGTTCGTATCTTGAGAGAGATCACATATCGTGGTTTTTAACGCAATACCGGCAGCCTCCACAGCGGGTTTTGAGCCCCCGTCCCCGATGAACTCATTGTCGACATCTTCAGCCTCGTCTTCCGTCTCTGTCTCGTCATCAGTATCCACACTTCGCGATTCAAGATGCTCGTGGAAGATGCTTACGAACTGGCGAGTTGTCGTCTGCAGATTGTGTAGGGCACGTTCAACCGAGTCCACAAGAGACGATATTTCAGAGTTCGCCAGAGCGTCGTCGTGATGATGTTTAAAAGAAGATTCTGTAAGCGTAGCGTGAAGCTGGACAATCTGTGTAGCCTGAAGAAGCTGATGCTCAACGTCACGAAGCTTTGCGGCAAATAGAGCCATCTCAGCCCGAGGTCGCGGCGGAACAATGTGTCGCACAAGCTCTGCAATCCTATGCCGACAATGAAAAACGAGAATCACTATTGGCTAAAAAGATAGTTTTTTCAGCCACTCTAATAATATAATTTTGCAGTTATTGTGGTTTTCATCAATTTTGCCGCCCGATTTGCTGTGTTATCTCGGGGCCAGATTTAAATAAATTGGGCAGGGTGTAGGGTAATAAGACTTGAATTAGCTATATGTGACCCTACTTAAGGTCTTAATGATGAGGGCGACGTCATCTCCAGACGACCTTACCACCCACAACTCAGTTTTACTTATTGAGGAAGAGGTAAACGCTAAACGTATGCATACTGTAGCGCGATTGCCGAGTAAAAGGGTGCTATAATTCTCCTATGGCGGTTAGACTGGAAGTGTTCTAGCAAATGAGTTTGGGCAGATCACTTATGCCGTCCAAAGACGGCAATTCTGGCACTTCTCCTTTAATTCGAAGTGCCCATCGACATATCCGGCCCGAGATAGCAATCTTACCTTACCCCTACTATCTATTTCGACGGCGCTCAGCAAATCGGATCCGACATAGTGGATCTCGGATCATCCGCTTTGCCAAAATGGATGAAAACCACAATATCATATAACTAAAACTAATGCCGTGCTAAGCCCGGTGAAGCTCTGGATATTACGGTGGTTTCAAAAAGTAATAACTACATGTAGTGCGGAATGAAGGACTTTTTAGAAGAAAAAAAGAGAAGAATTGCAATTTAACTAAGACTTCCAGTCTAGAAGAAGACATCAACAAACCGAGCGAGAATGATAGTCATTCATTTGAGTGGCTATCCCCGAACTTCGAAAACTTGAAAACAAGTTGGTACCCTAACTTAAAAGTACCGTATTTTAAAGAAGACCTGTAACAATTTTTCTACAGCATTATGGTTTCTTAATCTGTTCGATCCTCAATTGCATGAAGTCTTTGGGTTTCTGCCAGCGCATCACGACTTGGAGTAAAATACTCCAAAAACTCTTTCGTAAGGGGGGCCATGAGATACAACTGCGATAACGTTTTCACTCGAGTGACGGCGACATAGAAATATGAACGCTAAGGAATCCTGCGAGTCGGATGACGAAGCGGAGCAAAAATCATTTTCTCTACTGTCAGTCCTTGGCACTTCTCAGTGGTCAATGAGTACGCCAACACAAGAGAAACTTGGCAAATTGAGATAGAGAATGAGCGATCTAGCAGCCGAATTCGGACACCACATTCTGTCCTTTTGTATACAGGAACGACACCAAGTGGTAAAGTCGACACAAATGACTGAGAAGCGCCATCCCTCCCTTTGAAATACCCGACGTGGTAAAAATTCGTTTTCTTCCTCTGATGTGTGTGATGTGTGTGTGTGTGTATGTGTGCGTGCGTGTGTGAGTGTGTGTGAGAGGGAGGGGGGGGGGCTTACTTACGCGTTACGTCGTAAGGTTGATGTGTATGAGGATACAGTTTAGCCAAAATGAAGAAGCCGCGGTCGAACGTGCGTTGTCGTCCGACCTTGCTGTCTTGACGCGAGACGGCCTCGATAGAAATCCTATTAGTATTCATCTATTCCCTTCTTTAAATCATGTAGCCTTCATGTACTGTACCACCCACCATCGGTGGTATCGTATATTGGAGCAACATACACCTAAAACCAGATAGCGTGAATGTTGACCCAGGCGGCTTGGAACGACATTCACCAGTGCTTTTTATGCTTGACCGTGGTTTATTAGGTATTCCGTCCTTTTAGCCTATCACTTGCAAGCCACTATACTTTTAATAATTACAAATATAGCACCCTAATATTTTATAGAGGATCGTCGACGGTTTTTAATCGCCCCTAAAACTCTGGATATGAATATCCAGAGAATATTAAATACAGTTCTAAGGTACGTATTGACATTGATAAACCAGGTTTCTCGATCAGACAATTCATCGAAGCGCGCGCACTGGTGTGCACCATAATCCGATTATGTTTACAAGCACCAGCGCAATCCTTTTTCGCATGCTCGCCAGTGTTGTCACAGCCCGCCTTTACCGCCTTTTCAAAAGGCGCCTAAACCGGTTTAGGCGGAAAGTTTAGGAGCCTTTTCACAATAACTTTGCTTTTGTATAGTATACATTGCAGCTGGTAATCTAAAACTGGGCCCTTCACAATAGCTCCCGCACCTATTTAGAAGTTCGCATACAAGAACGCGTTACTACCCTCGCGTTCAGTCGTCGCTTCCCCGACGATCACCACCGCTAGGCCTTTTCCGACACCCACATAGACCACGTCCGTGCTGGTGTACGTGCTCCTGCCGCCCGAAGTCGCTACAGCGTCCGTATTCTCGTACGCAATCTCGGCATCCACTTTGAATAACGTTGTCCCAGTCTTGCCCGATCCGCCGCAGCGTTCGCATTCTCGTAGGTGTTCTGGTCGGCGTCCGTGTTGGTTCTACGTGCTCCAGTCTTGTCCGAAGCCGCCGCAGCGTCCGCATTCTCGTACGCGCTCTGTTCATCGGTTGCGTTGACTGTACGTGCTCCAGTCTTGCCCGAAGCCGCTGCAGCGTCCGTATTCTCGTACGTGTACTGGTCGGCGTCTGTATTGGTTGTACGTCCTTCCGTCTGGCTAGAAGCCGCTGCATCAATCGCATTCTTGAGCGCGGTCTCGACGGCGTCCGTGTTGAATAACGTTTCTGCTGCCACTGTCCGGAGCCGCTGCTGCGTCCGCATTCTCGTACGTGCTCTCATCGGCGTCCGTGTTGGTCTACTTGTTTGAATCCGTTGGAGTGGCCGTCAATCGGCGTTTGTGGCTAGCGAGCTATCAGGTGGTAATTGGAGCAGAACATGGTGCGACCCCATGTATCAGAGCGAGACCACTTTACGCTGATGAAGGACGCTCCGAAAAGCAAGGGGAAGTATTCGTACTACACGTGCAAGCATTGCACGCTGGCTTACAACAAGGATCCCGACCTTGACCCACCTGAGCTACTCCTAGGACGCTCGTATAACTACGTTGGACATTTGCGCAAATGTGAAGCATATCGGGCCGTCATGGAAAACTGTCGAGGGCAGTCAAGCGACGGTGGTAGCTCGAGCATGGGATCACCTCGCCGGCAAAAGCGTTCTGCAAACAAGCGTCTTCTTTTTTCGAAGGCATCTCCTAAGCGCAACGCCTCGAAACGAGCGTCCCCGAGGGCAAAATCCCACCGAAGATTTTCAAAGCAACAGAAGCAAGAAACGGAAAGACTAGTGGTTGAGTTCCAGGTCGGAAATTTTTTACCCGATTTGTTCATCGAGCGGTCATGTACGAAAGCACTGTTGGAATACTTGTGCCCTGGAATAACGGCCTACATACCAGGAAGGCGGACGCTTGGCGGACGCATTACCGGGAGTCATGCTGGGCATTGCCGTTCCATCCAAACACAAAAGCTGAAGCAGATACGAATTAGTTCGGGGGGATTTGTCAACTTTTTATCGGACGTGTTTCAGAACATTTCTCGTGAGCATGTATTGGGTTGTCAGCTGTTACTGTTTGGACATAGCCTTACGTATGCATTGCCCAAGGCGGGCGCTCGGCACGACGGTGTGCGATGGCTCAAGAGATGGAGATTATTCTGAAGCAGGCGCAAAATGAAGGGTGGAACATTGGTGCAGTAATCACCGATAACGCCGGTCAATGTGGTAGAGCTCGGCGCATCTTGGCTTTACGATGGCCTAACGTTACGTTTCTTTTCTGCTTTGCACATTGTATCAACAACATTGTCAAAGCAGTGTTAAAGTCATCTTTTTCTGGGATTGCCAAGGAGGCAACGGCAGCCGTTAAGTGCCTCAATGCGTCATCAGCTAAGTGGCTTGTCCGAGCTAGAGCCATGATGGAGGAATGCTACGACAAGCCGCTAGCGTTGTTTACACTTTGTGAGACACGATGGAATAGTATGCAGAGTTGTTTTGCCTCATTATTGAGAGTTCGTACTGCGCTGGAGATGCTAAGCATCAAGTACCGTGGCTATAAAGATTACCCTAGCTCGCTGAAGGTGTTCAACGATTCATCATTCTGGAGGAAGCTGACAGAGGCGGAACAAGTTATTGCGCCATTATCGGAGTCATCATATCGGCTCCAACGCGACGAGAACACATTGGCAGATGTCGTTTTATCATTTCGTGATATTTTTGTGGGTTTCGACAACTTCTATTTGGATTACCGAAGTGGACTAATTCGATGTGAAGAATCACGCTGGGAACAATGTGAACAGCCACTGCTCATGTTGACCTTTTTATTGAACCCGATGACGGCCGACGAAGGAAGAAAACTTGTGGAAAGAACCGACGACAGAAAGCGTGTCGTGGAGATGGAGGAACGCCTTATTGGTAGAGATATGCTAGACGAGAGCACTGAACAAGAGCATCGACAACAGTTTCAGGATAGCAAAAAAGCAGCCAGAATCGCATCTTCGACACAGCTCGCAAAATTTGCTGTCTATTCCTACCGTCGTCTAATTGGTGATGACTACGACTTTATTCGCAGTCATATGATTGAGTGGATAGATAATTCGCTGTCTTCCGCGCACCCGAGAGAGTTTCGATTTAACAAGGTTAAGTATTGGCAGCACGTTAAAAATGAGAACCCAACAAGTGTTTTACCTGACCTGGCAATTAGAGTACTCTCGATCGCAGTAAATACTGCAACTACGGAAAGGTTATTCAGCGAGATGATTCATACTCCAAGACGCAATAAGATGAAACCATCGAAAGCTCTAGACACACAGTGTATACGCCAATACATGCGCGAGCGCGAACAAACATCAACCGAAAGCGGGCCAACAATTTCCCGTATTTTAGATTCAACAGAGCGTCCGCTGGTTGACAGATTCGTGCAAGATGAAGGGGGGGGGGGGTCGAGGGGCATGAATCACCCGACAGCGGGTCCGGTAGCGGCCGTATTAGCAACACCCATCTCGACTGACGCCCTCCCTGAAGCTGCACCATCTAGAACGCCTACGCTGCACACCCCAGCTCAACGTACGCCGCGTCGTACATTGCGAACCCCAAGACGACGTTCTCCTCGTTTACGAACCCCCACTCCACAAGCACATCAGCGCAAATCCGCCCGTCAGAATACCCACACTCCAATGCGGTCGCAAGCCGATCAAGGAGACGAGCAGGCACCAGACGAGGACGACTTGGATGATATAGGCGACGGCGTCGATGCAGAAGAAACTTTTCCACACTGGGTAGAGTATCTTGAAGAAGTATTTAAGGATGCGGAGCTTGGTAGTAATTTCACTGATTCCTACGAAGACAGCCTCTTCCGCAATTAGGGGTTCGAGGAGATACCCACACCCGATAACACTCCGTTTCCCGACACCGATGATCCCATGTTTCTGCAAGAGAGGAACATCCGAGGTATTCGCGCTCTGAAGTCACCACTCGCTGCTCTCTTTGCACGGTCAAATTCTCATAGCCCACCGAGCTAGTTGAGCGTGTAACTAAATATGATTTCATCACCACCATTGTTTGCGTATCGACTGCCGAGAATTAAGTCGAATTCGTAATCGACAAGCCTCTGTTATTACCACACGCACTATCATTTGCTTCGCCAACACCGACGGCAACGGGGCTGCGGGTGCAGTGGTGGAGGTGGCTTCGGGAGGTGGCAGCATTACGTACACTAGCACGGACGCTGAAGAGAGCACGTACGATAATGCGGACGCTGCGGTGGCTTCGGGTAAGACCGGAGCACGTAAATTAACTCTGACGTCGGCGAGAACACTTAAGAGAGTACGCACGAGAATGCGGACGCTGCGACGGCATCGAGCAGTGGCAGCGGCACGCACACTAGCACGGACGCTGAAGAGAACACGTACGAGAATGCGGACGCTGCGACGGCTTCGGGCAAGACATGAGCGCGTACACCAATACCGACGTTGACGAGACCACGTACGAGAATGCGGACGCTGTGACGGCATCGGGCAGTGGCAGCAGCACGCACACCAGCACGGACGCTGAAGCGAGCACGTACGAGGATGCGGACGCTGCGACGGCTTCGGGCAAGACATGAGCGCGTACACCAATACCGACGTTGACGAGTCCATGTACGAGAATGCGGACGCTGCGGTGGCTTTGGGCAAGCCCGGAGCTCGTACATTAACTCGGACGTCGAAGGGGGCGTTCAAGAGACCACGTACGAGAATGCGGACGCTGCGACGGCATCGGGCAGTGGCAGCGGCACGCACACTAACACGGATGTCGAAGCGAGCACGTACGAGGATGCGGACGCTGCGACGGCTTCGGGCAAGACATGAGCGCGTACACCAATACCGACGTTGACGAGTCCATGTACGAGAATGCGGACGCTGCGGTGGCTTTGGGCAAGCCCGGAGCTCGTACATTAACTCGGACGTCGAAGGGGGCGTTCAAGAGACCACGTACGAGAATGCGGACGCTGCGACGGCATCGGGCAGTGGCAGCGGCACGCACACTCACACGGATGTCGAAGAGAACACGTACGATATTGCGGACGCTGCGACGGCTACGGGCAAGACATGAGCGCGTACACCAATACCGACGTTGACGAGTCCACGTACGAGAATGCGGACGCTGCGGTGGGCTTTGGGCAAGACCGGAGCTTGTACATTAACTTGGACGTCGAAGAGAGCATTCAAGAGACCACATACGAGAATGCGGACGCTGCGACTGCATCGGGCAGTGGCAGCGGCACGCACACTAACACGGATGTCGAAGAGAACACGTACGATAATGCGGACGCTGCGACGGCTTCGGGCAAGACATGATCGCGTACACCAACACGGACGTCGCGGAGTCCACGTACGAGAATGTGGACGCTGCGGTGGCTTTGGGCAAGCCTGGAGCTCGTACATTAACTCGGACGTCGAAGGGGGCGTTCAAGAGACCACGTACGAGAATGCGGACGCTGCGACGGCATCGGGCAGTGGCCGCGGCACGCACGCTAGCACGGACGCTGAAGAGAACACGTACGAGGATGCGGACGCTGCGACGGCTTCGGGCAAGACATGAGCGCGTACACCAATACCGACGTTGACGAGTCCATGTACGAGAATGCGGACGCTGCGGTGGCTTTGGGCAAGCCCGGAGCTCGTACATTAACTCGGACGTCGAAGGGGGCGTTCAAGAGACCACGTACGAGAATGCGGACGCTGCGACGGCATCGGGCTGTGGCAGCGGCACGCACACCAGCACGGACGCTGAAGCGAGCACGTACGAGGATGCGGACGCTGCGACGGCTTCGGGCAAGACATGATCGCGTACACCAACACGGACGTCGCGGAGTCCACGTACGAGAATGTGGACGCTGCGGTGGCTTTGGGCAAGCCTGGAGCTCGTACATTAACTCGGACGTCGAAGGGGGCGTTCAAGAGACCACGTACGAGAATGCGGACGCTGCGACGGCATCGGGCAGTGGCCGCGGCACGCACACTAGCACGGACGCTGAAGAGAACACGTACGAGGATGCGGACGCTGCGACGGCTTCGGGCAAGACCTGAAGGGGCTTAACACCAATACCAAGCGTGGACGAAGTCCATGTACGAGAAATGCGGACGCTGCGGTGGCTTTGGGCAAGCCCAGAAGCTCGTACATTAACTCGGACGTCGAAGGGGGCGTTCAAGAGACCACGTACGAGAATGCGGACGCTGCGACGGCATCGGGCTGTGGCAGCGGCACGCACACCAGCACGGACGCTGAAGCGAGCACGTACGAGGATGCGGACGCTGCGACGGCTTCGGGCAAGACATGATCGCGTACACCAACACGGACGTCGCGGAGTCCACGTACGAGAATGTGGACGCTGCGGTGGCTTTGGGCAAGCCTGGAGCTCGTACATTAACTCGGACGTCGAAGGAGGCGTTCAAGAGACCACGTACGAGAATGCGGACGCTGCGACGGCATCGGGCAGTGGCCGCGGCACGCACACTAGCACGGACGCTGAAGAGAACACGTACGAGGATGCGGACGCTGCGACGGCTTCGGGCAAGACATGAGCGCGTACACCAATACCAACGTTGACGAGTCCATGTACGAGAATGCGGACGCTGCGGTGGCTTTGGGCAAGCCCGGAGCTCGTACATTAACTCGGACGTCGAAGGGGGCGTTCAAGAGACCACGTACGAGAATGCGGACGCTGCGACGGCATCGGGCAGTGGCAGCGGCACGCACACTAACACGGATGTCGAAGAGAACACGTACGATATTGCGGACGCTGCGACGGCTACGGGCAAGACATGAGCGCGTACACCAATACCGACGTTGACGAGTCCACGTACGAGAATTGTGACGCTGACTGTTGACTTTGGACAAGCCCTGGAGACTCGTACATTTAACTCGGACGTCGAAGAGGCCGTTCAAGAGATCACGTACGAGAATGCGGACGCTGCGACGGCATCGGGCAGTGGCAGCGGCACGCACACTAGCACGGATGTCGAAGAGATCACGTACGATAATGCGGGACGCTGCGACGGCTTCCGGGCAAGACATGATCGCGTACACCAACACGGACGTCGCGGAGTCCACGTACGAGAATGTGGACGCTGCGGTGGCTTTGGACAAGCCTGCAGCTCGTACATTAACTCTGACGTCGAAGGGGGCGTTCAAGAGACCACGTACGAGAATGCGGACGCTGCGACGGCATCGGGCAGTGGCAGCGGCACGCACACTAACACGGATGTCGAAGAGAACACGTACGATATTGCGGACGCTGCGACGGCTACGGGCAAGACATGAGCGCGTACACCAATACCGACGTTGACGAGTCCACGTACGAGAATGCGGACGCTGCGGTGGCTTTGGGCAAGACCGGAGCTTGTACATTAACTTGGACGTCGAAGAGAGCATTCAAGAGACCACATACGAGAATGCGGACGCTGCGACGGCATCGGGCAGTGGCAGCGGCACGCACACTAACACGGATGTCGAAGAGAACACGTACGATAATGCGGACGCTGCGACGGCTTCGGGCAAGACATGATCGCGTACACCAACACGGACGTCGCGGAGTCCACGTACGAGAATGTGGACGCTGCGGTGGCTTTGGGCAAAGAACCGGAAGCTTGTACATTAACTTGGACGTCGAAAGAGAAGCATTCAAGAGACCACATACGAGAATGCGGAACGCTGAGACGGCTTCGGGCAGTGGCAGCGGCACGCACACTAACACGGATGTCGAAGAGAACACGTACGATAATGCGGACGCTGCGACGGCTTCGGGCAAGACATGATCGCGTACACCAACACGG